AAGTAGAACGACTGTGACAAAAGGAAGCCAAGTCCCCATCAGTCAATTGCAAAAGTCAGCTTTCCTTGGAACAACGTATATCCTGCAGGATCCCTCCAACACCATCGGACAACATTTGCCTATCCCAGGTCTTTGGAAAGGACTTGAAAGGTGGATAAAAAAAACGCCAAATCCAATCTAAGCATCTGGCTGACCGCACAATCAACCGCAACAATGCACTAAGAGTTTGAAAAGTTCCTAAATAAATTTCTCCAATTCCTTGAGGTCGTTGTCCTACCTGATTTGAATCTTCCCTTACCTTTGCCGGGGAGAAATTATGCTTTTAAGTGTTGGAAGAAGAAAATCCCACAGTCTGAATCCGTACCCTGAATAATTCTAAAATAATCATAAACAAATATTGTAGCAAGCACTTTCGAAACTATGGACTAATGGCCAAAAATGAGATGTTTTTATCACGAACAAATCTTGCCAGATTCTTACCTCGTTGTTGTTTTTTTGTTTCGATAATAATTGCCCTAATAGATCACGGGAAATGCCAACTGATCATAACATATCCCGACTTCAGCAAAGCATTTGGTAAATGGCCCATTGTTGCCAACTTAGTTAATTGTGGGCTAGATGGAACGGCAAACTAAGCAGAAAATACGAAATCGATAATCCCATTGAAAGCAATGTTTGCCCTCCTTTCAAACCGAAAGGAGCTATTGACCGGGGTTGACACAAGAATCAATCCTGGCCTGTCCATTTTTAATCAAGATTTTTATTCATGGTTTGGATGAGGAAGAGAAGAGGATTCTGATCAAACTGAGCGGGCCAGCTAACGCTCCGGGAACACAACAATAAAATTCAAAATGATATGGGTAAGCGAGGGAAAAGGTTGACAAACAACAGCACGAAATTGAACAGAAAAACAAATTAATTGTTATTCCTCTAGGGAACGAAAGTAAAATGTGCCGGAGCACAACAGAGGAGGGGGATAATGACTCGATAACATAACCCGAGAGAGACATATTGAACCAGAAACAGAATATATGTCAGCAGTGTAAAGATGGCTGCCAAAAATATTGGGATTTGGAGCTGTGCTAGGATGTCGGCAGAAGGGCTGTTTCTAAATCACAAGAAGAAGGAATTCCACTTTATTCCGTTCAGGTCTGGTTGCCAGGTGTCCACTATTTGAGTGGACAGTCCACTTTTTTCACATTAGGTTCACTATTTTTTTTTCACAAAATAGTGGACATTTTTTTTTATTCAAAAGCTTTATGATGAAATGGTACGTAATCTAAAGCTGTACAGTCTACTTTTTTTTACTACTTAACACACACACACCCCGCTTGTCCGCTATTTTTTGGAAGCAGACCTGGCAACCCTATGGGCATCCCATGTTGAATTATTCAGAGAAAGCATGCCTGGCTAAGGAATTCTGGGAGTTGAAGTCCAAAAGTCCTAAAAGGGCCAAGTTTGAAGACCCCTGGACTAGAAGACCTCCAAGGTCCCTTCCAACTTTTATTATTATTATTATTATTATTATTATTATTATTATTATTATTATTATTATTATTATTATTATTATTACTTTTATTTTTACTTTTACTTTTCCTATTACTATTATTATTGATTATCGCACAGTCAGCCAGATGTTCAGACTGGATTTGGCATTTTTGTCTACCTATCGAGTCCTTCCCAAGGACCTGGGATAGGCAGATGTGGATGTTTGATGGTATTACAGATATCCGCAGGATGGAAGCAGTTCCTATTATTATTATTATTATTATTATTTATTATTATTATTATTATTATTATTATTATTATTATTATTATTATTATTATTATTCATTAGACGTGAACCTCAGTCAACTGAATATCAACATTATTATTATTATTATTATTATTATTATTATTCATTAGACGTGAACCTCAGTCAACTGAAATCATCATCATCATCATCATCATCATCATCATCATCATCATCATCATTATTATTATTATTATTATTATTATTTCTAATAAACTAGACTTGATCGCCCGAGATAATGCATGAAAGAAGTCCCTTCTTGGCAGGCAGAAATTTTGCTGAAATGCTCAGCCACAAGCCCTTGCACATCTATGTCTGAAAGCTAGTAATAATCTGGGTGGATTTAAAGTCCATAAAGTACTCAGATTCCATTCCCCACAGCTGCTCGTCAGAAAATAATGAAGATAATTCCCTGGGCATGGTTTTAAAATCAAATGTGCTTGATCCCCCCACGGAGAAACTCTGCGGCAGCATTTGCCATTCAAAAAAAAAAAAAAAATCCCCAAAAACCTCCATTTCTATTAATCATTGAAAACCTACTTCAAAAAAAAAAAAAAGCCATAGTTTAATTTAATTTACAGACTTGGGTCAGTCAATTTATTTCCTCTCTGCCTGAAGCAAAGAAGAGAGACTTTGGCATGCTGGAAGAGAAACTTAATTGGAAATTCAGCAAAAAATAGGTTATGCTACCCCTCTTTACCCCCCCCCTTTCCAGGGTCTGCTGGACAGACGCCCGCAATGTTTATTGCCCTGACTCCAATTACAGCAGTCTGTTGCAAAAAAGAAAGCAAGCAAAAAAAAGTCTCGTCATGATTGCGATGGCTGCCTTCCCAAACCTGCATAAATCCCATCCATTCAGCAGAAGGCAAAGGAAAAAAACGATTCATGGGCGGGGCAAGAAGGATTTAAGCTCTTTTGGCTAGAGCTGCCTTCTTAGACCAATTCAGAGAATGAGGTGGCTGGATGGAGTCCCTGAAGCAGGAGGCGTGAGCTTCAATGGACTCCAGAAGATGGTAGAGGACAGGAAGGCCTGGAGGAATGTGGTCCATGGGGTCACGGCGGGTCAGACACGACTTCGCAACTAACAACCACAACAATCATTACGCAGGAATTGACCGTTCTTTTCCCAACGGTGCTTTTTCCAAAGGCAACTGGATTGTCTTGTCTTTTTTATTCCCTTGAAAATATTTCGCTTCCCATCTCAGAAGCTTCTTCAGAAAATCCAGAACCGAAGAAGCTTCTTGGAGGAGAAACGAATCGTTTTCAAGGCAAGGGGAAATCCCAAGAAAGTCCAGTTGTCTTTTTGGAAAAAGCACCTTTGGGACAACCATGATTTAGATGACGGAGAATCTCCGTACACATTAACCGTTCTCTTCCCAGCTCTGTAAGATGGACAAGAGAAGACAGCGAGAAATCAAACCCAGAAGATGGTGTAGGGTTCCTGCCTGAGCAGGGGGTTGGACTCGATGACCTCCAAGGTCCCTTCCAACTTTATTATTATTATTATTATTATTATTATTATTATTATTATTATTATTATTATTATTATTATTATTATTATTATTATTATTATTAAGACTCCTGTCTCAGGAGCTCCAGAAGAGATGAGGTCCTCTTTTTTTTTCTCACTAGGCTTCGCGATCCAAGTTGAACAAGGAGAGGGCTGAACTTTTAAGGAACCAAGTTCTGCCAGCCATCTACCAATAATCTACCAGGCCACAATCCATCTTATTTCAAAATGAAAGGGTCCAGTTCCCCACTTAGTGCAAAGTGGAATCCATAAAAGCTTTATTTAATAACCTCTTACCTTTTCCATTAGTTTCCTCCCCCCCCCAAGAGTCCATTACTGGACACTGTCCTTTAACAAGAGTGACCAGCTCCTTCCAAGACATCAATCACGTCTAGGTCCCAATCGGAAAACTGAATCCGTAAAGCTCCACGGTTACCAAAATGTTTTTTCTGGCACTTAACTTCCAAAGCTTTTAATCCGCTGGATGAAAACTGAAGCCAGAAACGTTCTACAAGCAGTCCTTGACTTACAACGCTTCGTTTAGCGACCGTTCAAAGCTACAACAGCCCTGAAAAAGGGGACTTACGACCGTTTTTCACAGTTACAACCTTTACAGCCTCCCCCAGGATCACGCAATCAAAATTCAGACGCTGGGCAACTGGTTCGTATTTATGACCGTCGTAGTATCCCAGGGATCATGTGATCTCCTTTTACAACCTTCTGACAAGCAAAGTCAATGGGGGAAGGCAGACTCACTTAACAACCGTGTTACTAGCTCAGTGACTCATTTAACAGCTATGACAAGAGAGGTCGTAGAATGGAACAAAACTTATAACTGTCTCACTTAACAACAGAAAGCTTGGGCTCAAGGACCACCTGTCTTTAGAAAAGCCAGCCCTTCAAACATCAGCCAGTTGCTGACATCTGGCCTCACTGAGGACTAGAAACATGGATACAGTTCACAGAGCAAAGGTTGCCATTGATATAATTTAATTCTCACCAAACGTACAAAACTTAAGACAATGCAATGCTTTTGCTACTAGAATAGTTGAACTTGTCACGCATACAAGGAAAGGGTTAGGGGGTTTTGTGTTTGTTTTTTTACTTTAAAATAGGAAATATATTCCTTAGCTAAAAGTCTACAATAGAGGTCATGGTTTCGTATCTCACAGTAACATGGCTATTTTTCATCATACATATTAAAAAATAGAAATATTTTAGCTTGAAACGATGGTCCCTATATAAAAATTCATTTGCTATCCACGGGAGAAAAAAATGGCCTTAGAAGAAAAGATGATAGGAGGGGATTTGAGGCTGGGGGGGGCTACGAACGAACTCTACAAGAACTCCCCACTGTTTTTTGTTTTTTTTTTGAGTTTAGGAAAAATAAATTATCTACAAGCCAAGTCCTTTTTCCACCCCAAAATTTGCTCAGATAATGGGAAGCGGAGGCCAACTACCGGTAAATCTTTGCTGGTTTGAAATCCTTGGCTCAGCATAAACCTGATGCTGAGTCATCAGAAGGAATTAATCGCTGAAAAGAAGAAAAAGAAAAAAAGAAAAGAATCCACTAACTTAGAGCTGTTTTTAAAATAAGCTACCAAACTTTTTTTTAAAAAAAAATAAAATAAAATAAAATAAAATAAAACCCAGTGCTTTGTTCCCTGATATATAAATCGCCACCCAAAATTGCTGTTCTTACAGATCGGTTTCCCTGGTGGAATCCATACAAAGGGCATAGAGGGACTTTCTCAAATCGATGGTGTTATTGGCTTTCATGTTGCTTTTCTCCACCGACCTGGTCCCGTTGTGGGTCTCGTCCAGATGCTCCAGATGCACCACGGATTTGCAAGGGTTTTTGCTCTTCGCCTCTTCCCCAGAGCTGCGCCGAAGAAGGCTTCCCGAGTCCTGTTGGAGAAAAGCTTGCTCCTCGTGGTCCGTCTCCCGGTGGTAGAAGTAGTTGAAGTTGGACACGATGACCGGGACAGGCAGGGCGATGGTGAGCACGCCAGCGATGGCACACAAAGACCCCACGATCTTCCCTCCCACGGTGATGGGGCTCATATCCCCGTAGCCCACCGTGGTCATGGTGACCACCGCCCACCAGAAGGCATCAGGGATGCTGGAGAAGTAGGATTCCGGGTCATCGGCCTCGGCGAAGTAGACGGCACTGGAGAAGAGGATGACGCCGATGAAGAGGAAGAAAATGAGAAGGCCCAGCTCCCTCATGCTGGCTTTCAAGGTCTGCCCCAGGATCTGCAGACCCTTGGAGTGCCTGGACAGCTTGAAGATCCTGAAGACCCGGACCAGGCGGATGACCCTCAGGATGGCCAAGGACATGGCCTGCTGCTGGCCTCCGCTGTTGCCCGGCTGCTCGCCCTTCTGCTGCTCGTGGGCCAGCTCGGTGCCCAGCGTGATGAAGTAAGGGATGATGGCCACCACGTCGATGATGTTCATGATGTTCTTGGAGAACTCCGGCTTGCTGGGACAGGCGAAGAAGCGCACCAGGAGCTCAAAGGTGAACCAGATGACGCAAGTGGTCTCAATGACGAAGAAAGGGTCGGCCAGGATGCTGGGACGGGGCGCCTGGCCCGTGGGGTCCCGCAGCTCGGCCGGCTCTTCCTGGAACTCCGGCAAGGTCTCCAAGCAAAAGGTGACGATGGAGATGAGGATGACCAACACGGAGACGATGGCGATGCCCCGGGCCGAGCCGGAGCTCTCGGGATACTCGAAGATCAGCCACACCTGGCGCTGGAACTCGTGGGTGGGCAGGGGCTTCTCCTCCTCCCGCAGGAAGCCTTCCTCTTCCCGGAACCGCTCCAGGGCCGCCTCGCCCAGCTGGTAGAAGCGCACCTCGTCGGCGAAGACCTCCAGGGAGACGTTGACCGGCCGTCGGAGCTTGCCCCCGGACTGGTAGAAATACAGGATGCCGTCGAAGCTGGGCCGGTGCCGGTCGAAGAAATACTCGTTGCGCAGAGGGTCGAAGTAGCGCAGCCGCTTGGCCGGGTCGCCCAGCAGCGTCTCCGGGAACTGGTCCAGGGTGCCCAGGCGCGTCTCGAAGCGCAGGCCGGACACGTTCAGCAGGACGCGCTCGGCCAGCTCCCCTTCCCCGGCGCTCGCCCCCTCGGCGGCTGCCATGGCCCAGGCCGAGCCGGGAGGGTGGGAGGCCGAGGCTCGCTCCGCAGCGCCCGGCTGGCCAAACCGCCCGCCTTTGGCTCAGCCTCCTTGGCGCACGCCGCTCGCTCTTGGCGCAGGCTGGGGGGCGGCGGAGGGGCAGCCCGTTGCGCGCTCTAGGCCGGCCGGCAGCGGCCCCTCTTGGCCTGGGGCGCCCGAGCGCAGCCACCGGCCGGGGACCCCGCGCGGAAGATGCCGCGCACCGCCCGCGCCTGACGTCAAGGAGGTTGCGCTTCAGCGCCCCGGCGGGCGGACGAGCGAGCGAGCGAAGCGGGGAGGGACGCAGGCAAGGCAGGCGGGGAGGGGACGGGAGAGGGAGGGAGAGAGGAAGCGAGGGAGGGCAGCTGCTTCGGTCCGCTTTCCCCCCCGGTGCGGCTCCTGCCTCTCCCGGTCCTTCCTTCCTTCCTTCCCGGGCAGGCGAACCTCTCCATCGCGCCCAGAACTAGCCTTAGCCTCGCTCGGAGCGCGCAGCCATGCGCCCCGGCCGTGCGCCCTGGCTGCGCAGAGGAGCATCAGGGCGCCCGCTCAGCTGGGCACAGCTGGAGACCCCCGCCTCGGGCTGGGGGTGGGTGGGGGGTCTGAGAAGCGCAGAAGCCCCCTCCCCGCAAAAGCAGCCGTGGAGAGCGGCCTCCGGGCAGGCCAGGCGCGGCGGGGGGCGCAGCCGGATCCTCTGGGCCAACGGAGCGTTGGATGGCTCTGGGTGCCGCGAGGAAGCGGGCGCTGGGGGACCGAGCCGGACCGATGATCTCGAGGAGATGGGCTGGACGGAAAGGAGCCTGGGGGTGGGGGGTGACTGGGGAGGGGGTGTCAGCCTGGAAAGTGAGAGACCCTGGACCCTCAGCCAGAGAGTCACTAGGCGGAAGAAGCCTGAACTCGCCTCCCTCCCGCGTTTGCCATTAATTAATTAATTAATTAATTAATTAATTAATTAA